AATTGTTGTGATGAATACACTGGTCGGGAAGAGAAGCAATTTCTAATCGCTAGTGGTGTTTTCGGAGTCGTCCCCATCATCTGTGATAGGCTTCTTATGTTTGGCTGCGTGTGTCACTGGGCTTGCGGAAGAAGAAGGACGGGTAGATGGTGGCTGAGCATACGGTGGCGGGGCAGAATGTGGCTGAGCAGGCGCGGTGGAAGATATTGTTGCTGTGGATTGCAATCTGCGGCATCCCTTTTGCATCATATGCAACAACCGGCGAAGCAGGCTGTTGTTCTTCTTAGTTGCATCTACCATCCAGCGGCGATACTCGGCGTCTTCCGGGTTGTCGGCTATATCATCAAGCCAGTACTCACTCCGATAAGGCTTACAGAAAGTGGCCTTAGATCGCTGCGTGTCCGCAGTTTGCTGTCCAAATCCTCAATCTCCTCGGCGCTTAAATGAACATTAGGAGCAGGAGCAGGTGTCGAGGTGCTCCTGGCAGTAGCTCCAGTGACAGAGCAAAGATACTATGTTCCAGGCGTGAAGCCTACGTTTGCTGCGACCTCCAAATCTGTCGGTGATGGTTGCGATAAGCTGGAAAATAGAACACGCTTGTCTCGTGACATAAACCGGTAAGTGGTCGCATCATGTAGGTAATGAGAAAAGCGGTGTCCATAAACTTAGTCTCCCCGTTGCATGTGGAGGTGTCAAGATCCACTCCCAAGTGCAAAAACAGTCGGGTAAGGAGGCTTCCGATCTTTTCTGTCCCTGCAGCAGTCTTGCCTTTAGCAACCTTTGTTCTCTTCTCCACTATAACCCTGGCAAATAATGCTCCCATGTTGACATCCACATCAATATTACAATTCAACCCATCTTCTCCTCCAATGGTATCCCTTACCGCGTTGTAGAGTAGTATCAGCTTGTCTGCTCTCACCTTACTCGTGTCGTCCTTCGAGAACAGGATGGTGCTGATCGCTTTGGCTCCAATCCGTAGAGTCGGGTTTCGGAAAGAAGACTGTGCGGCTGACCGAGAAACTAGTTCCTGTTGGCAATGAAGTTCCAGAACGCATTCATAATCGGGAGTCGGTTAGGAAGATCCACATTCTGCTCTGTGGAATTAAAACCATAGAGCTGACAGAGCTCAGAGATCGTGATGGCGTACTTCTTCCCTCCAGCAAAGAAAGAAAGCACTCATTCCGAGGTGACCCTCTTGTGCGGGTTGGAGTAGACAACCTTTGCAAAGGCGAGGTACTGCCTAACCAAGTCGGGGTAAAGAGGATCAGGCTGCATCGCCATGTTAGTCAGCTGCGTAGTGGTGAGTATGCCGCCTATGTCGTGAAAGAGCCCCAATCCCTTCAACGTTTGTCCACACAGAAATCGGGTTGGCTCAATGGCAATGTCCACCCAATTAT